TTTCCCATCTGTGAAGATGTCATCTATGTACCCCAGGTAAATTACAGGGATGGGAAGGTAGCTGCAGAGGAAATGGACTTCAAGGTCTGTTATAAGTATGTTGGCATAGTAGAGGGGCATATGTGTGCCTATGGCAGTGCCATTTGCTTATAAATATAGGGAGTCCCCAAACCTGAAATAATTGTGGTTGGAAAGTTGTTTCTCCATTTCCATAACAACAGGGGTACCCCCTCCCCCCCACCATCCCTCTTAATTCATGCCTAACCACTTATCACTAGTTAGGAAGTCCCAGGTACAATGGATGTAATGTGCCTCAATTTTAGTAAGGCTTTGATACTTTTGAAAGGAGTTAGAATTCTCTTTGTTACATTCTCCTAAATAAGATGAGGAAAGATGATTTAAATGAAGCCACTATATGATGGTGCTTAACAGGTTCAATAATAATAACTGAGGAGTACTCATCAACAACTCAGTGTCAAACTTGGCACATCTACATGGCCTATTAATGCACAGCAGTTGCTTCAGAGCTTATTGCTGCACATGCACCCAGGATCTCAGCATGTTGAGCTGGGTCAGAGCAGCCCTGGCTGGTCAGGGGCCCCAGGGATCAGCCTACCAGCCCAGGGCTGCTCCTGCAGGTTCAACAAGCTGTGGAGAGGCTGGCTGGGGCACAAAGGTACTTCAGTGCAAGGCTAACTGGCAGGCAGCCCCTACACTGAAGCACCCTCATGCCCTAACTAGCTGGGGCAGTGTCTACATGTGTGCTGCTACAGAGTTTTTTACTCCACAACTGGATAGTACTTGTATTTACAAGTACTATCTTGCTGCAGAGGAAGTTAATTTACTTCAGCTTAATGGAGGAGTATGTATAGATGGCAAGACATTTACTGCACAGCTAATTAGTATTCTGTGCAGTAAACACCTCATGTAGACAAACCCATTGAGTGATGGTATCAAGCAGGGTCCACCAAGGGTCTGTCCTGGGCCAGCTGTTCCAAATTTCCATTATTTGCTTGGAAGATGGAATTCAGCGGACACTTACTAAATTTGAGGATGATGCAGCACTGGGTGGATTAGCAGACACTTTAAAGGACAAGATTAAGATTCAAAATGACAATGATAAATAAAGAAATGATCTGAAGTAAGTTGCTTGAAATTAAATTAAAACAAGAATAAATACTGCTTTTAGGAAAGAACAATAAAATGCATACATAATAAACTAGGGACTTAAACAGGGTAAGCTGCAGCATTCCTGAAAAAGATCTGGGAGTAATATTAGATCACTAACTCAATATGAGTCTATAATA